AGTTGGCCCTCTATTTCTTTTTCCATGGTGAATTGAATATTTGGGTGGATGCTGTTAAGATGGTTTAGAAATTCTTCCAGTTTTTCTTCGCTGTGGTTCCAAATTGTGAAGGTGTCATCCTCGTATTGGAACCAGACTGTGGGTGTGAAGGGTGCTGAAGCCAGGGCCTTTTTTCAAAATGTTCCATGTAGAAGTTGGCAGCCACAGAGACTGGTGAAACGTCAGGAAGAACAACCTTCAGAACACGATCAAAGAACCTGAAAAACCCACAACAACCATCAGATCCCTGCCCTGAAAGCCTTCAAGAATAGCTTGAATATTCTTTGCAACATCGTGAAGGATACAGTGTCATCTTGCAGATTCTTTCAGATATGGGAGTACTTTTTCATGGGTACGAGGATGCTTTCCTTCATGTACCCTTGTAAGAACTAATGTACCCTCCATTCAGTGTCAAGAAGGGTATTTTCTACCAATCAATGATCCATGCAGCTATGTTTGCGGATCCTAAGCATGGTGAAGTGTGAATGGCCTTGATTTTTTATAAAGTGGCTGTGTAGAACATCTAAATCCACTCACAACTGATTCCAGATAAACAATGCCAAAGCAATGTTAAAGAGCTTTGATGTGGAAGTAATTGGTGCTTCTATTCCCTTTTTCTATTCTACCCACTGTGTAACCTGCATAACCAATCTGCAACTCACCCAGAGGGTGCTTTAAGTGGTATGGGGTGATACATAACCTGTGCACTTTGCTTTGCTATTGTTTTTTCAGGTGGAGTTCAGAAAACAAAAGTCACAGCCAAGGATTTAAGTGATATTGTTCCTGGCACAGAACCTGAGATGCAAATTCTTGTCCAAGGCAAGTGCTTGTCCCTTTCTAGTGCAGAACTTTAGGACTGGAAGTGCTAGAAAGATCAAAGAGCACCTCCAGGTCAACTGGGACAGCAACCTTTGCTGCAGCTCAGTGCATTTTCATCCATTGCCTTCCTTGCTGATCCCACTGAGTGCAAGTGTGTGCAAAGCTGCTCCCACAGGGAGAGTGATGTCAGAGCCTGGGAAATTTACTTTTTTGGATCACTGCTCTCTAAGCCTCCTAGCCCGGCTGGGGGATTTGGGAAGACTGTAGTTAAAGAACAAAATCAGTTTTTTCCCCAGAAGGGCCCAGCTCCCACACGAGGCTCATAAGGGAAGAATTAAAAATTAAGCCCTAAGTATAGCAGTTCTTGATGCCCAAAAGAGACTGCTGAAGTGGGAAGCAATCCTACAAAGAGCTGTTGATATGCAAGGTCTTGCAAAAGCATAAAGCACACAGTTCCTTTCTGCACCCAGATTGACATATTGGCATCTCTCTGTGTGCATTCATGTGATCAGGTGACCCTGTGGCTCACATTGTTGAAGACTCAATTGATGGAACCAATCTGAAACATCTCATCATAACCCCTTCTGGCTGTGGGGAGCAGAACATGATCACCATGACACCCTCGGTTATCGCCACCCACTACCTTGACACCACAGGCCAATGGGAGAAGATTGGAGTGGATCGCAGAGCTGTTGCACTCAACCAGATCATGCAAGGTAAGGCAAGCAGTCATTTAGGACTTGCTCTTATTTATTTTATTTCTTTATTTGATTTATACCCCGCCTATCTGAACCACCGGACCACTCTAGGACCACTCTTCCACCAGCCAATGAAAAGTGTCTGTTCCATCTTGATTCTTCCATCCTATATTTTGGCTGAATTTAGGGCTAAGATGACAGATGCTGAAACAATCTGACTGGTTGGAGTAACTCAAATTCTTTCATGATGGGCACTTAGTAATTCTGTTGCAGTGATGTGGTGACAAAATCTAAAGAACAAAATATGTAGTATAACTGCTGTTTTTTAAAAAGATTGCTCTCCCAAATTATGAAAAAATGTTTTCTCACATATATATTTTAGATTTAGTGGACAATATGGTCTTATTTGTCTCTAAAAGATAAGAAGCATACAAGTACTTTCATGTTCTGTTTGTCAAGGCTCTATTTTTGATAAAATTCTTCAATTATTAGGAAAAGATGTGAGTTTCAGGGGGAATACACATTCTCCTTTGTTTCTACATTGGTTGGGAAAAATGCTAATTACAAGGTCAAAGGTATAACACTCAAACAAGACCCTCAGAGCAATATAAATAACACCCCTTCGTAGTTTGTGGCTGTGGTGGTCCATCACTGCTAACATTTATCCCTGTAAGGCTTAGATACCAGTGTGAACCAGATGATCATGACAATCATATTAATTTATCTTGGTATCAAAGTATAAGTCACATACTTGTTCCTGGCTGGTTCATGAGAAATGTAGCTGCCAAACAGGAAAGAAAATAAATCCAAGAAACTTTATTTTATTTCTACAAACATTCATCTACATTGCTTTCATGCATATAAGCATAAAAATATTTCAAATTTGCTGAAAACATGTAATAGACATGTTACTTGAAAAATTATTCTTACACCTCTGATGGAAGTTGTAGATATATATGCTTAAACTATATGGAGACTGAACCTAAGTAGGCAAATACCTAAGTCAGAAAAATATATTTCTGTTACAAATAAGAAGTTAAATTTTAATTCAGTCCTAAAATATAAGAACTCATAGCCTTAAAAACCACATATTGTAAAAAAAAAATCAATAAATTGAGTAAAAATACATTTCTTAGCCTTTTAGCATATTTGAACACACACACACACAAATACTAGATTTTCTATGTGCTCACCCAGTTATTTGTCAATTAAAATCTATGGAGGAAAATGTATGATATCTGTGTATTGCCTCTATACTTCTGTTTCTCTTCAGCTACTGTTATCTTTTTCCTGCTCCAGGCTTCTTGGCTCAGCTTGGCTCTGTTGTGGCTCAGCCAGTTATGCTGATTCCATGCTTGGTAGCATCTTGCTTACATTAAATCAGTCCTTTTATAGGAATAGATGGAGATATATTTTCTTGTCTTTTGTTTGTATTTTAGTTCCAATACTAGAAGACTAAAGCAAAATCTCATACACTCTGCTACAGAAATAAATGTTTGCTGATAACAGGAGACAGAAACATTCTCCTTTATCTTTAGTTTGTCCTAAACTAGCAGATTGAATGCATTTTCTTATTGAATCTGATTCGGTAGTAAACTATATACATTACTTATGGAAGCTTCAGATGCAGGCCTAATGCACTTTTCCATAGATTTTGCCACCTAGGGAGATCGTGCCCGAGGCTTGTAATTATTATGCAACGACCTCTAATGGGCAATCATTTCCTCTTTTTTATTATTTCAAAGGTTACTTACAGGGATGGGATCAAATTAATTTGATCCCTGAAGACAAAATTCATTGTTGCTTTGCTGTAGGGTGTTTTTTAATAAGTTGACCTAGCATACTATGGCTTTCCTTATTCTCCTCCGTTTTCTCCTTTTTAAGGTTATGCCCAGCAGTTGCCATTTAAGAAAAGAGATAATTCAATTCATGCATTTCCAGATCGCAAGTCTAGTACTTGGTAAGACCAGGATTGCTTTGAATGAGTCTGAACCAGGAGCCTCCCTTCACACCTTTTTACTCCCTATTCAGCATCTCCCCTCATGAAGGCCCCATCTATGTGCACTATTGTGATTTGGTGCCCAGCACATGCTACTCCTCAAAGCTGACCCACTGAGTACTGTAGTGCTCTGGGTCATTCTCCATCTGCCTGAGCCCTCCCCCCACTCACCCCAATTTTGTGCTAGTGAAGAGATGGGGGTGCTATTTTCATCTTGACTGGTGGCTTGAACCTAGAGATCCTTCTCCTTTCTTGTGTGACTACTGAGAACCCCTCCTTGCTAATAACCACCCTGCCATGTTTCGCTCGGAAGTGAGGTGTATAGCCAATTATATTGTCTTTATTGAGATGGTTGGGCTGATCTTTAATGTTCTTTGCAGGCTGACAGCATACGTTGTAAAAGTTTTTGCCATGGCTTCCAGACTTGTTTCTACCATTAGCACTGATGTCCTCTGTGGAGGGGTGAAGTGGCTGGTTCTGGAGATGCAAAAACCAGATGGGATTTTCCAAGAAGATGCCCCTGTGATCCACGGAGAGATGCTGGTATGTGTTTTTACTGCTCTGAATGGCATTTCTTGTGAACAGTCCAGGAATTTTCAGAATGAAAAAGACCATAACACAAGAAATAAACTAGCCAGGTGGACACAAGGGGCAAACAAAGGTGAGAGGTGGCAATATGAATAGTAAGATTTTGCAGAGTTTAAATAAGATACTTTTTTTATTCTACAGTTCTCAGATTTTCCCAGCCAGCCTTGACCAGAGCCAAGCTGGCTGG